CGTCGACTTCGCAGCCAATTTCAATAGCATTAATGAGACAAATATTAGTAAATGGATTGTCGGAAGAACACTGAGAGTGTTAGGGTTAAATGGTAGGTGTGCGACCGAGAACCCGCTGTTCAGCTCAGAAAATCAAAGGGTCAAAGCAGAGGTCGCTCTCCGCCACCTTCACTGAAAATCGAGCCGTGGGGACAACGTCCAACCCACTAACGGGAGTGGGCTCGTAGTTCTTAAATCAAATGTTGTCGAGTATGTTAGCCGTTTTTTTGGCGATCTGAACACTCCTGCGTTGATGAAGAGAACACTGCTCCGATAGTTCGATGCTGTTGTTTTCGAGTGAACCACCCTTTAAGACGGACTCTAGCGTATTTTATGTTGGCTTGTCCTGACCAGTTTGGCGCCGGCTAGGCGCTTTCTCATCAAGCGGATGTGGTATTCGTGTTCAGGGGGTCAAACTACCCCCAGGGTCGAGTTTCTCGCCCGAGTTCTCAGAAAGGTAGTGAGCGTCACAAAGGGAAATGTGCCGATTCCGCATTTGATCTGCCGCGTCATATACCTGATCTGCTTGCTCTGCTGGACCATCAACTCGGAGTTTTTAAAAATTGGAGTAAAGGCTCTTGCAAGAAGGAAGGCGAAAAATTCGCACCAGCTGAATGCAAACCATCGAGCTCTTGGTTTTGAAGCGAGACCCTGACCACAAGGCTGCGCTGCCAAGGCATTCAGCAGCTCAGCAGTGCTCACGTGCCAACACTGCAAGGCCTTCCAAATGAGCTCTGAGTGGTCAAAGTTTGCTTCAAAGGGCAGAGCAGCCCCTTAATGCAAACTTTGACCACCCAGAACTCGTTTGGGAAGTCCCCGCAGAAGTTTTGATTTGCATATTCCAATCAGCCTTCCATACCCTATTGGCATACCTAGGTTTCCATTCGAAGTACCATGGGAATTTTACAACACTCCCTTGTCAGATATCTAACGCGCCGTACTGCCATGTGTATAGCCAAGCCAGTCGCGCAACTTGTCTGCTCCTTTCGTATGCTTGAAGAACTGTTGTCTCCACACTCAGTCGTGATCGGTCTGTTCATACCGTTCGCCGCGGGACTGCCGACAGTGATGCACATGCTGAATTGTGAATGTTGTGGATAAGTGAACTGCATCCGATGCCGTTACCCAGCCTCGTTTCTGCACCTTTTCGAATGAAGAAAACGGCATACTCCCATTGCTGCGGAACCGTTCGCTTGGTCGCACTGATTAACCGCGCAGGTGAACGCAAAGCTTGCCTTTGAATGTGAATATCCCCCGAAATACGCATACTACACCATGTTAAAATAAAGCACGCTACCACGCCTCTACATCATTAGGATATGAAGTGTGCAAGAGATGAACATCCAGTTTCAGAATACCATGCATCGCATCTCTGATATACTGGCTTGTGGCGGAACCAAGTCAGTTGGCAGCAAGTAACAAGCTGGAGCGGTTGGCTGGTTCCGGTGGCGTAGTACGCATTGGCCATCTGCTACCGAACAATCCGAATATAGCTCATGAACCAGAAGTTCTGAAGATGTGCGCTCAAGACCTCAAGCAGAGAAAAATACTTCCGATCAACTACACGTTGCAGTGAGTTCATAGCTTCATTTCACCTATTTCAAACTAGTTGATCTACACCTACGGTGAAGGAGACAATTTTCTATCATTCCACTTTAGTTTGCCCACCATTCAAAAGTCAGTGCAAATTTCACCATGTGAAAAGAGAAAGAAGGTTCTGGTCTTTCGGAACCGAAGATTCCCCTATTTATAGAGTTATAACAATGGAGAGCTGTAATAAATTTTCTGGTGTGGAAAACGCGGCTTATCTACATTACATCAAAAACGCTACTATTTATTTTGGTCCAGGATGTAACAATGGTGAGTTTTTCGTTTTCGAATCTAATCGCACTTCAGCGGCACTTTAGAACCTACGCGTGTCTCATACTACACCAGTGAGATAGCCCTGCTTCGTCGGAGGATAACAGTTTCTTTTCACGGTTTCCGAAAAGTTCCTTCCTTTTTTCGTGTATATACCTCCCCCACCATCTAGTAGGCAGTCGCAAAATTCCTGTAAATGGAATGGGAGGAAGTTGAGATTGGATATTTAGTATACGAATTGAGGAGGAAATGTCTGCATTTGCCTGAATTGTTGCACAATAACTAATAGGTGATTGAAATAAATAAAGAATAAATAAATAAATTAATTAGTTGATTAATAAACAGGGTGGATCACAAGTTCTTGGTTCTACTCCTTCTATTCTTGCGCCCTGTTCAATGTCACCACTCTCATGTTTTTCGAAACCGAATTATGAACTGTCGCGAAAAGACCCCCCCCCCCACATACAGTTACGGAAAAAACCCGGAACAAGTCAAAGAAATCGGGAGTTCACATCAAATTATTTCATGATTTTCCTTGACTTGTGTACCGAAATATCGTGGATATAGATGAAGTATGCCTGGAAGAACTGTTTTGGAATCAGTAAAAACGACCCCAAGCAAACACAAGTACTGAAATCTATTAGGTTGTCCGTAAAGTTCTCAGCGTTTTGAGTGTTTCAACTTAA